GTGAAAGTAACACGTTGCTTTAAATGTCTTGGTTATGGACACCAAACACGTCAGTGTGTGGGACCAGACAGAAGCAGGTGCTGCTACAAATGTGGCGGAGAGAATCTCAAGGCCGTAAACTGCACGGAGAAGCTAAAATGCTTCCTTTGTGCTTCGGACAAAGATGTCCAGGATGGTCTATGCCACATTTCTGGCACTGGAGCTTGCAAGGCATTCCGCAAAGCACTTGCAGAAGCCACGAGAGGTCAGAAATAATACGCATACTACAAGGCAACCTGAATAGGTGCGCCTTGGCGCAAAACCTGCTGCGCCAGCGTTTTTTTGAAGATAAAATTGACGTCTGCTTTATCTGCAAGCAATATCTAAACATCGAAGGTAAAACATGGTTCGCAGACGAAACGGGCACGGCAGCAATTTGGATTGTGAACACAAAGAACGTTACCGCCAACAACAGCGGAACTGGAGCAGGTTTTGTCTGGATTCAAACCCCCACAACGTACTTCATGAGCGTCTATCTCTCACCTAACGAAGGGATTTGTGTTGTCATGGGGCTCCTTCATTACCCGTTGAAGGTCCTCGCCCTAGCCGCGGTTAGTTATTGACGGATCACGGGCGCTGTGGTCTACGATGCTCGCGCAGTAGAAATTAAGTAACATAAGTTCCGGGGCCTAGAGAGTAAGCATTCGAGGGTGGGGAGAATTCCACATGGAGGTGGAGTGAAGTTGTTTACGCAAAAGGAAGACATTGTGAAGCCAGTGCCAAACAAAGCGACATCACCTTTCTACAGCCTCAGGTGCTTATCTTTGTTCCTTCGAACCTTTTTGTGGGACGAAGCGATTATTCACCTTAATAATTCACATCTAATTTTGCTAGGCATTTAGCCGGCTCAATTAAAATAATTACTATAACAGTACTGTGGTTACAGGATTAATATCACTGGAAATTTTCCGAGAAGCAACACGAGCTAATTGATCAGAACGAGCAGCAGAGATTGTTATAGCTGATACACCGGGACCCAAACACGTATACGAAGCTACGAGAGTCACCAGGAAAATCTAACAGTCTCAGGTACTGAAAATTAACCTCGTTATAAATTTTGCGTTGCTCGAAGAATTCTAGGCACTGGCGAGGTTCCTGCTTCCAATCACTAGATGTATTAATAATAATTGAATTTATTTAATATCTGAATTTATAAAGTCGAGGTTAGGAATAATTTAATCAAAATTTAATATTAAGAAAAGTCCGAAATTTAAAATAAGATAAAATCAAAATTAAACGAAGTTAAACTTATCAAATTAAATTAAGAAATAATTTAAGTTAAAATTAAAATAAAATTTATAAAATTAAAAAAAAAATCAAATTAGTGGTTAAGAGTAAAAGTAAAATCCGTTAAATAAATTTCCGTTAAAATAAATTATAATTAAATTTAAATCAACACCAAAATTAATTGAGTTAAAATTAAATTAATAAATAAAATTTAACCTCAGTACTAAAACTATTCGAAAAGTGAAAATTGAAATTTATCAATCATTGAAAATTAAAATTAATTATAAATTAGTAAATTAAAATAACAAAATTATTAAAACAAATTTATTATTAAATTAAATTTTTCAGGACTTCGATAAATAAATTTGTCCAAATTCCAACAAATAATTATTGAGAAAATTTACATTAAAATTTTGACCTTGTAAAATGTAGCATAAAATAATACTCGTTTCTCAAATCCTTTTTGGAATTCAAAATGGATGCTAAGCCGAGTAATCAGGCAGATTAAATTCAGGTAAATAAATCTAAAAATTTTCTGTGGTAAATTAAATAATAATAATAATATGAAACTAGAACTTAAATTTAATTTTAAATATTTATCGAAGTCAAGATTAAGAACCGGGATAGTTTGAGTTGAAATCCCAGGAAGGGTATTGTAAAGGCGAATTTTAGTAATATTGTTAAATAGAATTAAGTGAGTTATTTTATATTATAATTAGAAACAGTGTGATAATTGGATAATTTGTTTTATTAAAAAGTGTGTGTGTGTGTGGAATGAATTTACATTATATACTCCTCGTTCACGGGCTGTCGAGGAGGTTAGTATTACCAGGTTGTCGACTAGTTTCATGGTATCCTCCTCTGTCCTAGTCGACTTCAGGTTCCTTAGTCCCGTAGTGAGGGTCCGGGCGACAGCGAAAGGGCTAAGGACGGTTTGAACCTTGGGCAGGGGTCCGGGCGACCACCCAAGGTCAGATCTAGAGTCAGAGCGTGAGGGTCCAGTGGACAGCGCGATTTAGTTAGAAACTGCGGTATAGACGCTCCATATGAGGGTACTGTCAGGAATAGGGATTTTATTAGAAACTGCGGTATAGACGCTCCATATGAGGGTACTGTCAGGAATAGGGATTTTATTAGAAACTGCGGCATAGACGCTCCCTTAGAGGGTGCTGTAGGATTAAGATATTTTGATATTGTATAAGAGTGTGTGTGTGAGATATAATTATAATATTCGAGGCTATTGCAAAAGTCATTTGAATAAATTTGGAGTTTATATTGAAATTAATTGTTATTATTTGTGTTAACCTAACTATCATCTCTCTCGACCCTTAGATATCTCTCATAGCTCGGACCGGTTCTGAAAACCGTGATAAAAATTTCAGTGGCGCCCTTAAATTAATAAATTAAATAAGGGGCGACATAGAAGCAGGAATCAAACCGTTACAGTGTGTTCCGACAGAAACTGGCAAATATAGAAGATGCGGTCACTAAGTTCGACGGTGAAGTTATCGTAGCCGGAGACTTCAATGCTAAATCGGCTGAGTGGGGCGCTGCTTTCTCCGACACCAGAGGAAACGAGGTCGCTGACGTCGCGGCTAGAATCGACCTCATAGTGCTGAACACCGGGAGCACCACGACCTTTAGAAGACCAGGGTACTAAGAATCCATCCTCAACATCTCATTGGCGACTCCAAGGACTGCCAACATGATCGAAGACTGGTCTATTCTTCAGAAAAACCCGACTCCGGATACGAGCAGCGAGTCGGAAAAGGCAGTGCTAAATACGATGAAGGAAATTGCTGCCGCATGTGACGCCTCTATGCCATGGCTGAAAAATCAGAGTTTCCACAAGCTAGCGTACTGGTGGTCAGCAGACATAGCAGAACTTCGCAAAATATGCCATCAGCTACGTCGCCGAGCAATGAGAGCCGCGAAACGCTCCCCAAGCCAGGACTTGTATTCAAAAGAGTATAAGCAGGCCAAAAAGACGCTAAACCGAGCCATCAAAGCAAGTAAAGCGAAGTTGTGGAAAGAAATCTGCAATGATCTCGACAATGACCTCTGGGGTAAAGCCTACCAAATTGTCACCAAACGACTTGGAAAGGCTTCACCAGAAGCGCCGAAGTCTCCTGCCTTGATGGACAGCATTGTAGCGGAGCTTTTTCCCAAACACCTGCCGCGGAAAAAGAAACACTACTCTAAGAACAGCGAAGTAACACCCTTCACAACTAAGGAATTACAAGACGCGGCCAAGTCACTCAAAACAGGAAAAGCACCTGGACCTGATGGCATCCCGGATCGTTCGGTCACGCGCCAAAGGCTCTACCAGTTAAGCTATCCGAGACCTTGTCCGTAACTACTATTCAGTCACATATTAACGACCCGACTTGAGTAAACGCCACCGTCCATCTTACGGTAATAACAAATATTAATTTGTAAGTCAATTTGTCATGCGGATAAGTCAGTGACACGACATGATCGATGGTACGATGGTGTGGGGGATATTCTGCCTTTTTGGGGATATTCTTGTCCTTGGGGATATTCTGTCCGGGGGATATTAACGCGTGCAACCATTTATTTGAGTAATTTTTATTTAGGTCCTGTCCCGAGTAGTAGTTTTAATAAATAATAAGATTGGTAACTTAAAAGATCCTGAAATTTTTAGAAATGTTTTTTTTTATTTTTTTTTTTTCAAAAAGTCACACGGAAAAAGAAAACAGGAATAATTACAGTAAAAAATGTAAAATCGGTCCCGTCGTAATCAAAACCAGAAAAATTACAGTTTGAAATAACATTTTTCTAAATTCAATTTTTAGAGCTTTCAATGTAAATATTCCATTCTACAATGTAATTCTTATAATATCTGTAATAATTACAATCTGAAACTGTAATTTTTCAAATTTTCTTTTTTCCGTACAATCAACGATCGGTACAAAGTATTATACAAAAAAATTGAGCCAATATTATAATCTTGTTCGTCATTTTTGGCGATTTTCAAAAATTCAAAATTTGACAAATTTGGTATTTTTCAAAATTTTTCCGAAATTTTTTTTTTTTTTCAATCAAACACCAAGTATCTCCTTTTAAACAAATGAAAGGCCATTCCTGTATTTATAATAGCGTTCGAGATATTTTAAAAACAAAATTGAAAAACTGGAAAAATCTCAAAATTTTGAATTTGCATATCTATTGAAAAAATTTTTTTACTTCTTTTCCTTTGACAGAACTTTGTGGTATGATAAAAGAAAACTTTTCACCAAAATTTATCCACATCGTAAAGGGTCGATTCCGACTATTGGTCGACTTGACATGGAATGACCCATGTTTGGTTTGGTATTGATTTCATTTTGTAATGAAATAGAAGAAATAAAAAAAATTGACTTCTGTTTCCGGTGTAATAGTGTGTAGTTGTGTCTTTCAAGTAGATTTCTGAAGCTACGTTAAAAACAGTGCGGTTACATATTTACCGAATATAAAGGGTTAGAAAAAAAAAACATAAAAAGGTGGTGTACCAGTAGGGCAGGAAAAGGGTATAAACTTAAAGGGTGATTCATAGTGTTTAAATAAATAATCGGCTAGGTAAGGTTAGGATTCCAGCTAGGGCAAGAGGATAGAAGGGCAGAGGGGTCTTATTAGAGGGAACGGGCAGGTGGCGCCAATCTGGCGAATAGAGGAAGTTAGATAAGTCGATAACAAAGGAATAGTAAGAAAATTAGGTTTCGCTGAATAGGGTAATGCAGAGTGGTAGTGAGGAAAAAATAGCGCGAAGTTCAAACTGGTTTCAGGGAAATTTTAGACTGGGGAGGACTAGTAGCGTAGGGGACATTGAGGGAATAGAGACAGGGGCTAAAAGAAAAAATAGGGAGCAAGAGGGAGAGGAGAGTCTCACAAAAGGAAAAGGGGATAGGGATATAATAAAAAAAAGCAGGCTTCAGTTCAGACAGAGCACAAAAGAAAAGGTTCTGGAAACTGGGGGAATGGAAACGCTTATGAAAAAGTTGGAGGACTTGGATAACAGAATCAAACTCAAATGTAAAAACGTTAGTGATGAAGTAGGGGTACTGAGGTTAGAAGGAAAAAAGGAAAGGGAAGAGATGAAGAAATGGTGGGAAGAGGAGAAGAAATACATGAGAGAAAAGATTGATGGGTTAGAGGACAGAATCAACGAACTGGAGAAGGACAATAGGTCGGCGGAAGTTGAAAAAGAAGGTAATGATCGGAACTATGAAAGAGGACTAGATAATGAGAGAAGGCTACAAAAACTAGAGTGAGAAGCGGAAAAAAAAAGAAAGAGAGGCAAGAAGAAAAAATGTGATAGTAAAGGGAATTGTTTTTAAAGAAGGTGCGGATTGGAAAGGTGAAATTGAAAAAATTTGGAATGAGATGGAGATCGTAGGGGGAAAAAAGACCTACAAAAGGATTGGTGGAGTAGACAAGGAAGGAAAAGGACTGGTGTTGGTGGAACTTGAAGGGTTAGACAGGAAAAGAGAGATGATGACGGCTAAAAACAAGCTAAAAGGGGAAAGTTATTGAATAGAAGACGACCTGACTTTCGAGGAGAGGAGGATAAGGAGGATTATTCTGCAAGAAGCGGTAAAAGAAAGGAACTGCGGTAACAATGTAAAAGTGGGCTATATGAAAATGTGGGTAAATAGACCATTGAGGTTATGGGATGAGGCAAAAGGATGTTGGAAAAAGTTACAGGGAAACGAGTAAAGGGGGGGGGGTGAGAGGGAAAAAGGGTGGGGGAACTGGTAAAATGAAGGAAATGGGATCCAGGAGTGAAGAATGTTACTTCCAGATTTGTTTGTGGAATGTAGCGGAGGTAAAGAATAAGGAAGAGGATTTTTGGTTATGGCTAAGGAATTGGGATGTCGTAATGTTGTTAGAGACTTGGGTAAACAACAAGAAATGGATGGAGATAACGGAGTCATGGAAAAAGGGCTTCAGCTGGAACATCCTGGAAGCCATAATTCCCAAAGGGAGAGGCAGAGCGAGTGGGGGTGTGTTGGTTGGCGTAAAGGATGGATTGGAAAGGGGTAGAAAGGGGAAATGGGATACTGATGGCTGGGTGGAAATGCCAGGACAGGTTCTATAGGTGGTCTCAAGGCGGATGGGGATGGGACAGAAGGTATAAGAAAGTCGAAGGATAAAGTTATTAACAAGGATGGAAAAGAATTATGTGAATATTTGGATAAGAGAGGCTGGGGAATACTAAATGGGTGCATAGAAGGTGATGAAGAAGGGGAATGGACATTTATTGGGGAAAGAGGATGCTCAGTAATTGACGTGGTACTGGGAAATGAGAGAATCAGGGATAGCATACACGATCTGAAGGTGGTTGAAAGAACCGAGTCTGACCACTTACCTGTCGTGGTGAAGGTGAAAGTTATGGGGAAGAAAAGAAAAAAGGAAGATGTCAGGAAGAGGAGGGGTCAGAGGAATATGGGATAAAGAAGGGGTGATAAGCTTCAAAGAGGAACTAGAGGCAGGCGTATGCGTGGAGGACAGGGGAGAGAGTGTAGAAGAAGAATGGGTAAGTCTGAAGAAGAAAATACAAGTAGTTTTAAAAGAGGTGACAAAGAAGAAATATTGTGCTGGAAGTAAGCAGGGTTGGTGGGATGAGGAGTGTAGAATTGAAAAAAACATTCTAGGCAAAACACTCAGAGATTTTAGAAATGGTAAGTGTTCGAGAGAAGAATACTGCAGGCTGAAGAATTGCTAAAGGAGGCTATGCGAAAAGAAAAAAGAACAAGATAGGAAGAAATGGGAAGAGCAGGTTAACAACAAAACTACAGAGGGGCAGATATGGAAGATCGTTAACGAAGGCAGAAAAAAGAGAGAAGGACTGAACAAGGGGATCAAGTTAGAATCGTGGAATTGTTATTTCAAAGAGAGCTTTGGTGGTGTCGAGGAGAGGAGCAGGTGGGAAGGATCGTCAGAAGAAGTAAGTCTGGAAAAGGAAGAAACGGTGGATATAGAAAGAGAGGAAGTGAACGGAATAATTAAAAACATGAAAGAGAATAAAGCAATGGGAAGATATGGAATTCCAAACGAAGTTTGGAAGTATGGGGGAAAGAATGTAAAATCTGAACTATGGAGATTATTTATTTATTTATTTATTTATTGCTTATACATAGACCCAACAGCGATAGCCATTGACAGGGTCATTAAATATATATATTTGGCATTAAATGATACGGAAACGACTTTATGCTTTTCGTTGAAACAATATTATATAGTATAATAAGTGTTAAGCTACATAAGTATATATAAACGATATTAATAATAATAATGATAATAACAATAAATAAAATAATGTAAAGCAATAGTTTAAAGCTAAATTAGATGAACAGTCTCGAGTACTATCTAAATCTATCAAATGTACATAAGTAGCATGCGAGTAGGAATAGTTATATAATTACATATTTACGTAAACACTATCAACCATTGAACATATTACTTCTGATAAATTAGAATCGAAAAGCTCAGAAGAATTAATAGAAGTATTTAACCAAGTTTCAGAAAAAATATAAATATTATACTCAATAGTTGCAGTGTTTCAAAAGATATTATTAAGTTTAGATTTTAACCCACGGACATTTTGATAGTAGACAGAGAAGAGTTTAATTGTTGAGTTTAATGTTATTGATTTGTTATTCCCGGCGTCCCCTGAAAAGCAGCTCCACGTTGTCGGCGGACTACGATCGGCTTCCCATTCTTGGTCACTACTCGAAGACCAGACTCTCCCGCAGCTGTCCTGCTCCGGAGTTGGACTACCGCAGCTCTCTGCTGCTCTCGTTGCTGAGGTGTTTTGTCGTTCGTGATTGAGATTTGACTGAGAGCAGGTGGCAGAACTTTCTTGCGTTTCATTTTCACAAATTTCTGAATGTAGACATCAACTTGATTAGGATAATTAAACCTAACTTTTAGCGGCCTAGGTTGCTGTAAGGCCGGAGAGTATTTACCAGAGTTTTGATCCGCCACTCTTCTAGCATCTAGGTCATTATCTTTCAATTCTGTAATACCGAATAGTATTACATTACTGCGCCTGTTGACACGATCTTCTACTTCTTTCAGAATATCTGACTCCATAGTACTGATGTTGGTTATTAAGTTATCTTTCAATGCCTTAATGTCCGCTGAGTTATTATCGATTTGGAGACAGGCTTGATCAATCTGTTTGTGAATAACCTGGTTGTCTATTTCAACTGCTGTAAGTCTGACACCCAGCTTATCAGACAATTCCTGGACCTTAGCTTGTAGCGCATCAACACTGTCCTTTACTGGATCGAGAACTTTAGCAGAGTGCGTTTAATGCTTTCCTCAATTCTTCATTTTCTGTGCGAAAGATCTCTTTAATATCCTCAAGTGAATAAGCCTTCTTGACGCCACAGCATTTTTGGAATCCGCCACTCGGCAACGCAGACTGATTTCGAACACAACCAGGATGGTAGAAAGTAGAGCACTTGCTACAGGCGACCGGGTCACTATTAACAATATTACTGCCGCAGCCTTTGCATTTTTTTTTGGCGTAAAAGACGGGCTGTTTGACTTCGTAGTAATAGCTGGTGACTTAAGGGGCATTATAGGAGAGTATTAGCAGTTAGGTTAAACACACAGTGTATACTCAAATATTCGTCAACACGACTTGTGGATGTGATGTTAACTGGACGCGACTGATATCTAAATGAAATAGCAGATCTACAACAGCGATCGATACGGTAGAAGACCAGATTATTGATGTCAATATACCGCGTGTGATGCCAAAACACAGTCAAACTGATTGACAATAGGTGGTGCTCAAGATGTTAACACACTGATGCCAAATTTATTTTAGGTTAGACCGCGATGCCACGATGCCTCAGTTTTATTTATTAATTATGCAAATTCTAACGTATAAAAAACTGCACTTATTTATTACAGGGACTCACTCACCAGTGGACTACCCACTAACATCAGAACTGAAGGCAAAACACTTAATTTAACAAAATTTAACGTAATAAATGCAGAGCGATAAAACGACTGCTCTCACTTCACCGCCATATTTTTTTCAATTATGTCAAAGGATCTGGAGGGGGGAGGGGTGGCCAGAAGACTGGAATGAAGGAATTGTGGTACCAGTTAAGAAAAAGGGTTTGGGAAAAGAGACAAGTGACTACAGATGGATTACTATTACTCAGACAGGATACAAGATTTATTTGGGAATTTTAGAGAGGAGACTGAGGGAGGAGGTGGAAAGGAAAGGTCTACTACCAATTTCACAAGCTGGATTCAGAAAAGGGAGGGGGACTTTAGATAATATATACTCACTGAATTACTTAATTAACTGCAAAATTCACAAAGAAAAAGGAAAACTAGTGGTGCTTTTCGTTGATTTTAAGGCTGCTTTTGACTCGGTTGATAGGAGGGAGCTGGTGGAAGGAATGAGGAAAAGAGGAGTGAGTCCATGGCTCGTGAAAAAGTGTGAGGATGTCCTGAAAGAAACGAAAGGAAGGGTCAAGGTAGGGAAGGAGCTGGGAGAGAACTTCTGGATAACAAAAGGAGTAAGACAAGGGTGTCCTTTAAGTCCCTTATTTTTCGTCCTCTTCCTTGCTGATCTTGACGAGGAACTAAGAAAAGGAAGATGGGGAGGAGTAGAGCTAAAAGGAGGGGAAAAAATTTACTCACTTGCTTACGCGGACGACATTGCGCAACTGGCGAAGAATGAAGATGAGATGAAAGGATTAATGAAGACGCTGGACAGATATGTAGAAAAGAAAAAACTGGAGGTAAATGTAAGTAAAACAAAAGTCATGAGATGTAGAAAAGGAGGTGGCAGGAAAAGAAAGGTGTTTTGGAACTGGAGAGGGAAGGAAGTGGAGGAAGTTGACAGATACTTATACTTAGGTTATTTGGTGAGAGCTAACGGGCGACAAGATGATCATGTAAGGGAGAGGGTGGCAAAAGGAGCGAGAATAATGGGTCAGGTGTGGGGAATAGGTAAGAGAAATTTCGGAAAGGATTGGGCAAGGAGGGTATGGTTGTTCGACAAACTGGTATGGCCTGTAATGAGCTACGGGGTGGAGATATGGGGATGGAAGGCAAGGGAGGTGTTAGAAAAGATCCATGACAAATATCTTAGATGGGTACTGGGAGTTTCTAGGAATGTTGCTGGATATCTGGTTAGAGAGGAGGTGAAAAGGGATAGGCTAGAGGGAAAAGCCGGAATTAGAGCATGGAGCTATGAAAAGAGGATTGAGGAGGATGGAGGTGGGAAATAGTAAGGAGGTGTAGAGAAGAAATGAAAAAGAGAGCCCGTGCGGTGAGAGAGATGATTGGTTGGGAAGAAGAAAGAAAGGAGTACTTCGAGAAAAGAGGCTGGAATCTTACGGAGGTAGAAAATAAATGGGAAAAGGGTACGATGAGAGGGGAAGACTTAGTGTACATGAAATAAGGAAGCAAGAGATGGAGAGGTGGAATAGGATAGTAATATTGGATAGCAACAAAGAGTATAAATTTATTAAGGAAAAGGGAATTCCAGGTTACTTAAAGAAGGGTTAGAATGAAGACAGGTGGGGAAGAATAGCAAAGGCTAGGCTAGGTGATTTACTAAAGGGAGCAAAGTACTGGGAGGTAGCTGACAACAGACTATGCGAGGTTTGCGGTCAGGAGGACGAGACATGGGAGCATGTTTGGGAGATTTGTTCAGGACTGGGAGTAGATAAGGGGTGGCAGGAGATGAGATCATAGGTATTGGGAGGGGAAGGGGAAGGGGAGGACTAGATAGCAGTGATAGTAAAACAAAGGGATAGTGCAAGGGCTGAGTAGTTTTCTATTGCTCAGTTTTTAATAGTAGTTTATTTTATTAGGTAGATTTTGTTAGAAATCTAACTATTGCATTTGTCCTCATGGTGGAATTTTCAACTGATTTTGCTATCATATGTTATAATAAGTCAAGTAAGTTCTAAAAATACCATTGGTTAAAAAATTTTTATATATATATATATATATATATATATATACGCGGCTTGCAGTACGATAGCGTTTTCAATTTATAACCGATTCTTCTCAAACTCAACATGCTGTATCTATCGATCAAGACCATGGTTAAGTTCGAAGATGAGCTTAATCGGGCGAGTACTTTGGAAATGACAGGATTTTTAAATTTTGGAAATCGTAAAAATTGATGTTTTTACTACTTCAACTTAGTATAATTACTGAACTAGACAAGATATTAAAATTCGGTAAAATGCATCGTAAAGCTCTTTTAATAAGCTTCAATTTTCACTACTCAGAAGTGCACGGAAAAAAGTAAACTGTAATATTCACTCGGATTCCGGTTAGTTTTTACAGTTTCAAACAGTAAAAATTGCCATTTCAATATACAGTCCATATTATGAAGAGAAGGGAAACTCAGATGAAAGAGAAGGGGGTCTCACTCTGGGAGAATGTAACATTTGAAACAGTAAAAATTATACTTTTAAAATATACATTTTACCAGTCTAAGCAAGTCAATAATTACAGTTTGATTTTTAGCGTTGCGTTTAAAATTTACCATTTTACTTTGTAAATATTGACGTTGCTTGTATTAGAAATTTACTAACTTTATTTTATACTTTTTACATATCATAACATCATTTTTTAGGTACGAAATGATAAATATTAAAGTCTGAATTCTTAATTATTATACTTTAACATTTTAGACATTTACATAGCGAATATTACTGTTTGAAATAGTATTTTCTTCCATGTAAAGAGTAAATTGTAACGTTTAAATTGTAAATATTACAATGTGAATAGTAAAATCACGATTTTACTGTTTGAAATGGTAATTTTTAGCAGTTGATCATTACTTATTATAAATCGACTGTTATTTATTACAGTTTACTTTTTTCCGTGTGGTATTAACCTCAATATTACTCCTTTTAGAGTTCGTTTAATGAAACAGTTTTACTGTTGCAGCCGTTTGAAAATTGGCTGTATCATAGTATAAACATGATATAGATTCAATAATTATGATATTGATCAGTCTTTTACGTAATGTATTCGCGTAGGTCGTCAGTAAATACGTCACAAATGAGTTCTAAATATTGTTTCATTCAATTAAATTTTCATCCGGTTTCAAAATTCTGATTAACTTAAAAACTGTCGTTCCTAAGCAGTTACTTAAAATTTGGACATAGATAAATAAAATTTCATAGCCTGCAAAATTGTTCGATAAATATTCGAGAAACATTTTACTTCAAAAAATAATTTTTTGAACAAAATTAGTTCTAAATAGTTTTAAATTTATTTTTGAATTTTTTTTAATCAACAAATTAAGTTAAATATTATTATGATTAAAATCATTTTATAAAAAGTAAATTTTTTTTTCTTTGAGAAATCTATTCCCACTTCGGCTGCCGAATGA